CCTTGCTCATATACTCCCTCTTCTTTCTTCAACTGGACTCCTGGAGCTTGTCCTGGTGTTTGGCTGTGGATCTGTGCATTTGCTTCGATCAGCTAGTGAATGAAGGATCTATGGTGACAGTTGGGGTAGCCATCAATCTGATTACAGGGAAAGACCAGTTCAGGCACCTTCGTCGCTACTGCTACAAGTCTTAGCTTGGGTCATCCTTGTGGATTCCTAGGAATTTTCCTAGCCCCAGGTTTCCCCCTAACCCCTTAAAGACGTTTTTTATCCAGCTCTCTCATGCTCTCCCACTCTGTCCTTCCTCCAGCTCAACCATCCCATGCCCTCATGTTCTCATCCCCATTGCCTCCCCTCAACCTTCCCCACCCCAGTTTACCCAGGAGATCTCATCTATTTCCCCTTCCCAGGGATATCAATGTGTGCCCTTCTTAGGGTCCCCCTTGTTACCTATTGTCTCTGGAGCTGTGGGTTGTAGTCTGGTTATCCTTTGCTTTATATCTAGTATCCACTTACGAGTAATACTGTGTTTGTCTTCCTCAGTCTGGGTTACCTCACTTAGGATGATTTTTTTTTCTAGTTCCATCCATTTGCCTGTAAACCTCATGATATTATTGTTCTTATATATCTGAATAGGAAGTACTCCATTGTGTAAATGTATCACAGTTTCTTTACCCATTCTTTGGTCGAGGGACATCTAGGTTCTGGCTATTATGAATAATGCTGCTAGGAACATAGTTGAGTAGGTGTCCTTGTGTATGATTGAGCATCCTTTGGATATATGCTCAAGAATGGTATTGCTGGGTCTTGAGGTAAATTAATTCCCGATTTTCTGAGACGCTGCCACGCTGATTTGCAAAGTGGCTGTACAAGTTTGCACTCCCACCAGCAGTGGAGGAGTGTTCTGCTTACTCCACATCCTGTCTAACATAAGCTGTCACTTGTGTTTTTGATCTTAGCAATTAAGACTGGTGTAAGACTCAGTGTCATTTTGGTTTGTATTTCCCTGATGACTAAGGACGTTGGGGGAATTCCTTCAATGTCTTTTAGCCATTTGAGATCTTTCCGTTGAGAATTCTGTTTAGATCTGTACCCATTTTTTTTTATTGAAAAAAAAAATTTTCCGCCTCCTCCCAGCCTCCCATTTCCCTCCCTCCTCCCACTCCTCTCCCCCTCCCTCTCCAGTCCCAAGAGCAGTCAGGGTTCCCTGCCCTGTGGAAAGTCCAAGGTCCTCCCCGCTCCATCCAGGTCTAGGAGGGTGAGCATCTAAACTGGCTAGGTTCCCACAAAGCCAGAACATGAAGTAGGATCAAAACCCTGTGCCATTGTCCTTGGCTTATCATCAGCCCTCATTGTTCACCATGTTCAGAGTCCGGTTTTATCCCACGCTTTTTCAGTCCCAGTCCAGCTGGCCTTGGTGAGCTCCCAATAGATCAGCCCCACTATCTCAGTGGGTGGGTGCACCCCTCGCGGTCCTGACTTCCTTGCTCATGTTCTCCCTCCTTCTGCTCTTCACTGGGACCTTGGGAGCTCATTTGGGGTGGGGTGGGATGGGGGTAAGGGGAGATTGGGGAGAGAAAAGTGAGAAGGGGAGGATGGGGGGAACTTGGGGAAATGGGATGGTTGAGATAAAGGAAGAGTATCATGGGAGCAGGGAAGTATATATCTTAATTAAGGGAGCCATCTTAGGGTTGGCAAGAGACTTGAACCTAGAGGGGCTCCCAGGTGCCCAAGGTGATGTCCCCAGTTAGTTCCTTGGGCAGCTGAGGATAGGGAACCTGAAATGGCCCTATCTTAGAGCCATAATGATGAATATCTTGCATAGCACCATAGACCCTTCATCTGGCGATGGATGGAGATAGAGACAGAGACCCACAATGGAGCACTGGAATGTACCCATTTTTTAAAAAATGGATTGCTTGGTATTTCGATGTCTAGTTTCTTAAGTTCTTTTTCAGTTCCCTGTTTGCAGGGTTCTCCAGCAGATAGGGCCGAGGCAGAGCTGGTCCTGCCGGTCTCTCCCTGGGGCTGGGCCGGATGGTGAGTGTCAACGACCTATATTCTCCACCCCCTCCAGAAACACACTGAGTGGAGAGTCAGGATCATTGCTTCAGGCAGGAATTTATAAAGGGCTGAGATAGGAGGTGGGAGTCTTGGGATGGGGTGAGGTGGAGAAAGGAATAAGGGCCAATAATGTCCTGCCACGTTAGTGGTGATCGGGCAGAGGCGGGTTTAGGTAGGGCTGTGCTGAGTCACCCATATGTGGAAGTTCTGGCCAGAGACTGGTAGCTAAACTCGAGTTAGGCTCAGGAATTTACACTGTGCCTCACGAGGCCAACATCTGATGAATTCTGTGAAACAGGACTGTAACTACAGCTCTATTTCTTTCCATGACTATTCAGATTAAACTGACTGATGTGCAACTTTTTTTTTTGGTTTTTCGAGACAGGGTTTCTCTGATGTGCAACTTTTTTGTTGGCTTCTGGATTCGTCCATTTGGGCTGTTATACCAAAATGCTGCACATGAGAAAACATAAATAAAAATGTATTGCTCATAGATTTGGAGAGGTGAAGACCAATATCAAGGTTCTTGTTGCTTCATAAAATGGAGTCTTCTAGCCGTGTTCTCACAGGGTTGAAGGAGGCATTTAGAGCCCTTTGGGGTGTCTAAGGACCTTCATGACCTAACATCTCTTCACTTCCTGATACCACTGCACAATGAATTAACTTTCTACATGTGTATTTTGGGAGGACCTATTTTCAAAATTTAACAGTTGTTCTTAAGACTAATGCATATGTTGGACAACTCAAAATCTAATAACTGGAAACCCCAGTTTGTTCTCTTCTGGGTACTTTATGAACACAAATATTTTTTACTCTAACTCTACCCAGGTAACAAGATACAAATCGAAAAAAAAGAATAGGGTTCTGGCAAACAATAAGATACCAACATAATCAACTGGCTAATGAAGAAATTGGAACATACTGGAAAAAAAGAATTTTTGGTTTCTGTCACACCAGGGCACCATTATAACCTTTATTGAATTTGTTGACAATTTCATACATGTAAAGTACATTCTGATCACTGTACCCCCAATTTCTTCACTCTGCTTATCACCTTTCGCTCCACTCCTATAAAACTATGGCCTCCTTTTTGGTCTGAGATCCAGGATTTCATCAGAATCATCAATATGATGAGCTTCGAGCTATTCAACTGAGTCAGGCTCAAGGTACTGAGAAGAAGCGACAGTTGAATGTTCAGCCCCAAAGAGAACACTTACATCACACATCACTATCTCTAAGGCTCAGGGGATCATTGTGTTAGAGGGGTGGGGAAATCAAGGTTGGAAGACAGGGAGAGGGTCTCTGAAATGCTGTCCTCTGTGCATGGCACAGCCAAGGCAGTCATGATCCAGCAGTGTGGCTGCCTGCAATGGACCAACACAAGACGGGACCATCAACAGTCACCCACGGATTGGTGAGAGATCAAAGGGGCTCTATGCCTCTCCACTGAAGTATCCACCATAATCTCTTGTCACGAATTGAATTGTTACCGAGAGCAGGCACATCCTGGACTGTCTCCAAGCCTATTGTTGAGACTCCGGTTCCTACTCAATCACTGTCTTCAAGTAAGAGTGACAGGAGAAAGTGGTTAATGCTCACTGCATACTGCACAGGGCAGCTCCTGGAAGCAGTTTACCCTTTTCTTCTTTAGCTTAACAACAAAAGAGGCCAAACAAAACACACCAAAACCAAACACTTTTTCTTTCTTTTTTTTTTTTAAAGATTTATTTATTATGTATGCAACATTCTGCCTCCATGTATGCCCACATGCCAGAAGAGGACACCAGATCTCAATACAGATGGTTGTGAGCCACCATTTGGTTGCTAGCAATTGAACTCAGGACCTTTGAAAGAGCAGGCAATGCTCTTAACCTCTGAGCCAAAACTCAAATCAGGGAGTATATTAAATAACTCATTGGGTTTTTATTACTTAACACTTAAGCCATTTTCGTTTTTCAGAATTCGTGTTTTTCCAGTTTTTCATTATCTACTTGGAAGACAGAATATGTACATAGCTTTATGTTGCACATGATGACAAATGGTCCTTGGGTAACACAGACTCTAGGTGGCCTAAAAACACACAGGGTGAACTATTTACCTTGGGCACACCTGATCAGGGTTCTGGAACCAGTGATTCCAGCTGGAGATGGAAAGACGGCTGAAATATGATCGGGCCAAAATTTCATAGACTTGCACAATTATTTATGAAGTACAAAAAGTACCACTTCTGTGTTAAGTTACTGTGTCAAGAATCTATGGATACAAAAGTGAAGATAGCCACACCAAAGGACAATAAAACAGGAAATTATAACAGTGTGGCCAGAGAACCAAGTGTTTGGGAAGGAAAAAGGATGGGCTGTCAGAGAGTGAGCAGATTAGATAAAGGGGAAGGTGGAGCGGGGTGGGGGTGGGGGTGGGGAATGGTGTCAAAACCTGAATAGAATCTAAAAATAGAAGCTAAAGAATGGAGAACAGGAGTAGCTGTGATGCTTAACGTTAGTTGTCAATTGATGAGCTCCAGAGTCGCCCAGGAGATGAACTCTGGGCATGTTAAAGATTATACTGATTGGGTTTACTGAGGCGGGAAGACACACCCACTGTGTGTGTGTGTGTGTGTGTGTGTGTGTGTGTGTGGCCCGCCATCGTTATGCTGGGATCCCGGACTGTGTAAAAATGATAAAGTGAGCAGACTCCCTACTCTTCACTGTAGATGCAACTGTGTGCTGGAATGACATAACAAAGAGCAAGGAATAGTTGAGATAAAAGCACAACGGATCAAGTAATAAATGTCCTTGATGAAGTCCAAGGGCTAGAATCTGTCTAAAGGACAACCAGACAGAAATGGTACAGGTAGAGATTCTCCAAGCAGAGTTTCTATACTAACAGCAATAGCCAAGACCCAACCCAAGAGCAGGAGCATACTTTGGTCAATTGAGAAGTCTGCAAACACATGTTTATTAAAACACTATTCAGAACGGCCAAAATCAGGAATCAGCCTACACGTGCACGAACTATGAATGGATAAAGGAATTGGTATGCTACACATTGGGATTTTACTTAGAGAAAAGAGAAGAATTATCTCACATGTAGGAAAATGGATGGAGCTGGAGAGCATCATGCTAAGACAGACAGACTTAGTAAGGCAAACACATTTCTCTCATATACAGAATATAGATTAGATGACATTAAAGTATGGGGAACATTATTTGGGAGGCACAAGATAATATAACGTGGGATAAATGATGATGTATATGATATGCATATAAAAATGACAGAATAAAACCCATTGTTTTGTACTGATACACCCATAGGAAAAGACAATACAAATGTATTTTCAGCCACACTTAAATAGCTAAGAAGGTAGACAGTGTAAGTTTATATGCAATTCCAATCGCAGTGAAGGATTCAGGAAGAAGCCTGCTTATGACGATGCTGGAGAAGGCCACTGAGGAAAAGCACTCTTCCACACTGGAGGCGATAAGACAAACGCTCACTCCCCAAGGAAGTAAAAACTACCAAGAGCCCGGTCAGGACCCATGAAGTCTCTACACATTTTTAATAACCAGAGCAGGAAGCTCCGCAACATGGGCCCGAAGTTACAATGGCACTTACCAGGGGCTCAACATGACAGCTGGAGCAACTGGTTTGTTATCCTTACAATCAGTTGCTTACTTTCCTGAAGTCAGCTTCAGACATGAGCACACTTACTTTACAAGAAGATAGCCCATGGCGGTAACAAAAAGTATCCTACGACAAAACACAAGGCTTCTGGTTCCTTCCTTCCTTTCTTGTTTTCAAAAACAACACTGCCAACTGAGAATGGGTCAACTCTTAAAACGGAATAGAAAGAAATGGTAGTGTAAAAATGATCTGATATACGGCAATGAGGCACACCAGCAATCCTTGAAGCAGTTTGCCTTTGACACAATGTAGCAGTGAACACCAACCTTCTCAGTCACAGTCCCGAGTGGTTGCATCTGTGGTGATCTTAAAAAAAGATCTATGTTTCTCACATAGCACGTTTTGGTTTGTTTGTATTTTTCTGAGTGCAGGCTATCTGGATTGTAGATCCTGTATCACACGGGCGCTTCTTTTATAAACATCTTTGTTTCCCCACCAAGAGTTTCAAAGAGTTTGATTTCTCTAAGTCCATTTTAAGTGTTACAACTTTATTATTTGATTATACTTTTAAAAAAAGTAGAGAAAAAGATCAAAAGAAAGAATTATCCAGCATCTCTTCACAAATACAGTAGCAGGATTATATATATCCCTTCTAGTCTTTTTTTTGTACATTAACACACCATTTAAAACAAAAAACCAGTATCATAAATGCTTATACCCTTTCCCCTCATTTCACAGTATGAAGTGACCATTTCTTTGTGAGAAAATATGATTTCTACTTGATTGCTTCATAGCTTAAGTTTAACAGGAACATGATATATCTAATTTTTCCATATTGTTTAGAATATTTTGCCTTCTTTTCATGATTCTTTCAATGACTCTCCCATAACTTCTTAAAGAGAAATTCCAGCATACCAAAGTGCATTCAGTATTTTTAAGCCCGAGATGCAACGTACTGAACCTGCCTCCCAGAAGGATGGTGCCAATTTACAACCACAGTCAAATTTCAAGCTCACAGCCATCAGCAGTGCGGGGGAATGGACAAACATCCTCACCAGTCTTCATGGTTGCCAGTGTAGAAGGAGAAATGATTGACAAGGTTTTTGGCTTTGTTCCCTTATATTTCTGCAGGCTGTTGTTTTCCTTCCAGGTTCCAGAAGAATCTGTATCTCAGTTGGAGTGCACGGTCTCTTTCTTACCACATGCTCCTTTCCCGGAAAAGGAACAAAGGCCACGTATCGGTCCCATTTTTTGTTTAAGCAAAATCTCCCAAAGACTAGAAGTAGTAAGTCTCCTCGTGGTGGCCATGCCGTTTCAATGTCTTGGTGGTAAAACAGAACACTGGACCATGTTCTGAAAGGAAGAAAGTCACAGAGATGAGCTACAGGCGGTAGAGAGCATGCCAATTACCCCAAGGCTTCCTAACAAGTCAAAACAACAGAAGAAAAAGCATTGAGAATCTCCAAGTGAAAACAACAGTGAGAAGGAGCCTTGAGATTCGGAGTTTAGTTAGGATCCACAGGGACACATACTTCTTAAACTCTCCAGATAATTCCCATGCTCATCAAAATTTAAAAACCACTAACTGGGGAGGGTGAAATGGCTGAGGGGGTAAAGGTCTTTGCCACCAAGCCTGGAAGCTTGACTTCAATCACTGGGGACCCACGTGGTGGAAAGAGAATCAGCTCGTACAAGATGGCCTTGAGCCTTCACGCGCTCACCGTTTACAGACGCGCATAACTAAGTTTTTAGAAGTGTCGTTAACAAAACAAAACAGCAACAACGCGAACCAGATATGGGACTTTAGCAGTGTCTCTCAATTCTTGGCTGTTCCTTTTCTTGCTGACTGGTGAGGTCAGGACTGCACATCTCAGGGGACGGATCTGAGAATCACACATGTCCCTCCATTGCTTCGGGCGTCAGGACACTATACCCTCTCCCAGCATCAGCCGTTATTCAGGCGAGCCCCCTCCTTATCCTTATGCCACTGAGAAGTCAGTGAAGCTTTAATGTGTCTCAGCTGGCAACATGATGGGACCTTTAGCATCACTGGGAGTCTCTGGGTATTTTTCTGAGTTCGTTTGTCTCTTTTGCAGATAGGATTTCACTGTCACTCTGGGTGGCCTGAAACTCACTATGTAGACCACGTTGGCCCTGAACTCACAGAGCTTTGCCTGCCTCTGCCTCCCAAGTGCTGGCATTAAAGGCTTGTACTGCCACACCCTACAACTGAGTTTTATTCTAATCTGGAGCTGGACACACAATGAGTAAACTGACTAATGTTTCTGAAGTAAACTAGTAAGGGTAAGTAAGAATCATTAGCACTGGGTTCCTCACTATTCCACAATGGAGACCACAACACTCAATTTTGTCTACAGGGCAATTCTTCATTTCTTCGGCTCTTGTTCAACACCTAATCAATGCCACACCAATTAACCCATTTTAAGTGCATATTCACAAAACCACACACCTTCATCTTCGGAAGATCACTGATTGTTACTGTCCGAGCCTGCCTCAGGTTTCTTTTTAAGGAACTGACTGGGGGTAAAACCATAGTGACAGACAAGTCAGCTGGAAGACAGCAAGGTTGGCGACTGGATATCGTGTGAGCCCAACACTGACTCAGAATTGGCCACGGAGGGACTTGGTCAGGTGGCTCAGCCGTTGGTTGGCTAGAACCAGATCGGTCTGCTGCTAGAACCTGTTTAGTTCAAAACACCAGCTTATAACTGGTAGATTGTTTTTTTTTATCTTGTGCTTCCCCTCCCCCCAGTTAGACTAGTCACTGGTCTTTTTGTTTTACCTCAACTGTGACAGAACACTTCCTGGGAGGAAAATTTATGTACTCATTAGATAAACATTTATCTCCCAGGTATCCAGTGTTGAAACCAGCGGGGGGCGTCTCCTCTCAGGGAAGACATTATGAATTAGAACATTCGTGGCTTTCCCAGCCCTAACTAACGTCTGAGACCCTACGGTCACAGTGGGTCATAGTTGCATGCTGCAACCTGTTTGTGTCAGTTCACAGGTGCCACTTTCCAGCTTCAGGGTGGCTTCATGTGGCTGCCCCGACGCCTTCCATGCAAGAGAGAAAACACTAGTAATCGTTTACCACAGCAAAATGCCTCCACCACACTGAAACTGTGGCTTTTTCCTGAGCTCCTAGGTGGTAACTCGGGCAGGGACAGCTTCTATCACCCTGCCCCATGCCCTCTCACTGACTGTCAAGGTATCTGAGAGGAGAGATAAGTTTGAGAACACGCAGAGGTACTTCCTCTTTAGATACAAGAGGAAGCTGCCAGGGAATGTCTTGAGGTTCCTCACTACTCTGGTTAATCAAAAGCTACAAAATGGTCAAATAAAAATGTCGCTTTCTAAGCTTCCCAGTCAGTTTAAATGATACCCTTAGGGCGAGCACTGGAGCTCGGAATCTACCACTTGTCACCTGCTTATCACAATTAACTGTCTATAGTTGTAACGTCATTGTTATTGATATAGAAGTACTGGCTGCAAAGGCCTGCCTACACTCGGTACAAACCTACCTAAGAGTAAGTAGCTGAAAAACACTGGAAACCGTATACAGCGAGCACACTAGCCTTCTGAACCAAGACATAAAGATAACTCCAGGACCGTGTAGAGAACCCAGGACACTAGGTAAAAGAACTCTCACCCCAGGCGTGAAAGTTTGCCAAAAACAAAACAAGCTGTCTTGTGTAAACTACACGAGGAGATGGACCAAATTCAAAGTGAAAGCCAGGGGAAAGATGGTTAGAGCCACAGACGTGTCTGCTTACAGGGGCAAGGCCACTCACCTTCAGATTTCGAAGCGTTTCTGACCACTCCATAGAGCCTATCTGTGGAATCGTAGTGAGCAGTAAGCTTTTGGCTTTGTTGGCATTTTCTTTCATGGTCTTTAAAACCCCATCCACTGACACCTTGAGGAAGAAGAACACAGGATTTAACTGGCACGAACTGCTTCTCGCGGAATAACTTACCCTGTTTTGCTGTATGGTATCAATGTTTATATCCCTTCTGAATTCATCTTTAGGAACTTAGGCGGCGGTGGTGGCGCACGCCTTTAATCCCAGCACTTGGGAGGCAGAGGCAGGCGGATCTCTGTGAGTTAGAGACCAGCCTGGTCTACAAGAGCTAGTTCCAGGACAGGCTCCAAAACCACAGAGAAACCCTGTCTCGAAAAACCAAAAAAAAAAAAAAAAAAAAAAAAAAAAGAAAAAAGAAAAGGAACTTAGTCCTCTTTTTGAGAGTGTCAGGAAGGGGGACTTGGGAGCTGATTAGGTCAGGCAGTGCTCTGAGGAATGGGGTCTGGTACCCCAGTGAGCCCCCACAGGCCCATATATTGAAATGTTTGGTTCCCAGTTGGAGGAAGTATTTGGGTTAGAATAGGTGTGGCCTTGCTGAAGAAGGTGTGGCCTACACTGGGGGCACTGCCTCACCCTTGCAGACCAGGAAGGATGTTCTCAGCCCCTGTTCCAGTGCCTGCCTGCCTGCCTGCTCCTGTACTCCCTGTCAGGATGGACAGGGACTCACCCTCTGAGCTGTATAAACTCTTGTTTATTATGCAGCTTGTGAAAGTATCTGAGATGTGCCATGCGTCTACTTTTAACAGGATTTTCTTATAGCTGCCTGAACAGACAAAAGAACCTGTGTTGTAAAGTCTGCTTACTCCAAATGCTACTCCCCTCGCCCCCTGGCCTAAACACCACTCTCCTCCACCTTAGGGAAAAGGCCTTCCAGCTGCTCAACTCTATTCCTGGAAAGCCTGAGAAAATATCATAAATGTCAAGCAGGAGCCACCAATACCACCCTTCCTGGTCCATAGAAAAATAAATTCCAGCCTAACACTTGCTATACTGGATAACCAAACAGGAGCTAAGTATTCTAAAAGCACTTTTTAACAAAGGGGGAAAAAAAAGAATCAAAGTACCATCACTGTCATGACTCCTAGTTAGTAGACTGGAGGTTAACACTACCACCTAAACCCAAGAGGTCAAAGAACCAAACAAACCAGGACAAACCACCTTGGAAAATTGTTTCTTGTATCAAAACACCATCACGATGCTCAATTTCCCTTCTATATATGTAGACCCAGCTTCCAATATGGAAGACAGAAACACCTGCTATCAAGATAAAGTCTTAGCAACCCAGAGTGTTCGAGACCCAACAGGACGAGGCCTTGGCCTCTGTTTTCTTTTTCCCTGTTCTCTATACTGTTTTGTTTAGTAGTTTTAATTTTAAATTTTTAATTTTTTGAGGTGGGCCCTCACTGTGCAGCCCACACTGGTTTCAAACTCAGGATTCTCCTGCTTCTGTCCCACCAGGTGCTGCCATTCACATGGACCAACTATGTTTGGCATCTTAGTCTCTTTAGAAGAAAAAAGAATTACTTTGGGTTCTAGGGATGTATCTCAGTGGTAGAATGCTAAACCACAATAAATTGGATCCCGAACTGGATTTCAGAAACGTGTGTGTGTGTGTTGTATGATCATGCCGCTTATGATTTTTTTTTTTTTTTTTTGGTTTTTCTTTTTTTTTTTTTTTTTTTGGTTTTCCGAGACAGGGTTTCTCTGTGGTTTTGGAGCCTGTCCTGGAACTAGCTCTGTAGACCAGGCTGGTCTCGAACTCAGAGATCCGCCTGCCTCTGCCTCCCGAGTGCTGGGATTAAAGGCATGCGCCACCACAATTCTGCTTGAGCATATTAAATAACATAATTATAATCTAATTAACCACTTCCTACAATGTTTCTGGATTACAATTTTTTTTTTTTTTTGGGTTTTTCGAGACAGGGTTTCTCTGTGGCTTTGGAGCCTGTCCTGGAACTAGCTCTGTAGACCAGGCTGGTCTCGAACTCAGAGATCCGCCTGCCTCTGCCTCCCGAGTGCTGGGATTAAAGGCGTGCACCACCAACGCCCGGCTCTGGATTACAATTATGGAAGTATAGATGAACATTACTGGGCATAAGCTGGCATGACGACTGGAGAGTGGCTGGGCTCCTGTGTGTTCATGCTACTATCTACCTCTGTGTATGAATGACTGACTCACATGGGAAGCTGACCCTCAGGCCCAGAGTCCCTCTGCCTTGCTTTCTTCCACTTAGAAGAAAGCCAAGATCCAGGGACACATGACTCCACCTTTGTATCTCCTCATCCAGATGGCTTCTACGAACATGGGAGAAGATGAGGGGCCCGACAGCGGAAGCCCTGCTACAGCATGGCACACACAAAACATGCATTTAAAGCTGAGTCTTTAAATGCAGGGGCTTAGGGCTGCTGGAGACTGACCCTTTATTCCCACGAAAATTTCCAAACTCTGACCTCTTTTCTTTGTTCCTGTTGTTAACTTTTATTCAAAATATTCTTACTACTGTTGACCCAGTGGTGACTCACAGAAACAGCCTAAAAGACGGAGCTCAAACCTAAAAGGTTATTATAATACTTTCTTTGCACTCACTCCACGTAGTCATCGGTTACTCTCCCTTGAGTCAACACTACCCCACTTCTGATCTGAATGGCATGCCCATAGGCTCACGTTTTGGGAGATCATGGGTTCTTTAAGTGATGAGTTGTGGTGGCCTCCAATCATAAAGCTAGCTAGTTTGTGCTACTTCATAACTGTAACTTGCTACCATTATGAATCACTATGCAAATATCTGGTCTTAGGAAACCCTGGTGAAAAGACAGTTCAACCCCCAAAGAAGTCGCAAACTAGTGCTTTGGAAGGTTGGGCCTGATGGGCTACTGTAGGTACCTGGGATGCCGGCCTTGGAGAGGTACTGCTCCATCCTTGTTCAGTCTAGGTCTCCCCTTCATGCAGTCTTGCCTGCCACATGAACTAGCTGGGATCTTTCTTCCCATAAGCTGTTCTATCAGTCAATTCTCCCAGTGAGCCGCCAAAGGTCAAGAGTCATAACTAAGTCACCACCCCACTCTATGCCATGGCTTCGTTTCAGAGAAAACAAGTTCAGTTCTTTGTTGAGCATCAGAGTTCAGCCCACTCCAGAACCCTGTCATCGGTCTAAAGCATAATGACATGAATGGCTGTTTGAGTGGATGCCATGTTTATGCGTGTCTTTCTTGTGGCGCTCGACATGACTTGTCTTTCCGCACTGGCCCTCTGCTTTGCGGCCCTCATCTGGCATAAAGCACCTTAGAGGAGGCTTGAGACTGAGCAGGGCATTTCTGGCAGGAAGCAAACTGCAGTCAGGAAGTGACACGAGCTAATGTTTCCCACTAATTGAAAGCAGCTTCTTTACATCAGGAAGTTGGGAGTAGTTCACGGAGCTGCCAAACCAGATACGGTCATCTAACAAATAAAGCTTGCCTGGAGATCAGAGTACAAAGCTAGGCCACTCGGTAGCCATAGAGGCCAGGCAGTGCGGTGCTACACACCTTTAATCCCAGTACTTGCAAGACAGGGGTAATAGAGCCAGCTCTGTGTATTCAAGGGCACCGTGGGCTACACGGGATTGATCCAGTCTCAAAGAGGAACAGCCAGGGCGGTGTTGGTTCACACCTTTAATCCCAGTGTGTGGGAATCACACGCCTTTAATTCCAACACTAAGGAGATGGAGACAGAAGTGATATGGCTGGTGGGGGAGAGAGGACTATAAATAGTGATAAAACCAAAGAATAGGGCTTCGTTTATGTTACCCAACAAGTACACATGGGCAGAGAGATGAGAAGAAGCTCTGTTGCGTGTAACTAGATGCAGAAACAGGAGCTCTCTGAGACACAGCCCTCTAGGTGCGCACGCACCTCTATACCTCTTCCAACACTCTTTTACGTTTTCCTTTCCTTCTCCACTCTAAGATTAGACAAGAGACAGGCAAACGAGCTTGTGTCTCTCAGTTAAAACAAAACAATTTTAAGAGAAGTACGGCGCTTAGGATAAAAGACCCCGGCAGTGCCTGGTGGCTTGAGCCTGTAATCCAACTACTTGGGAGGCGGAGGCAGAGGGACTGCCAAATTCAAATCAGTATCCAGGAAAAGATACATAAACAAAGGATTTTATAGGCCTATCATTAACATACAACACAGGTTTATAAGGGTCTTGATTTGATCAAACTGCTAAAAAATTATGTGATCAAAGACAAACAATAGTCTAGAGATTCAGTAAGAAATACCATTTCTTTGTACAAATTGTGGTATGAGTTATGTTTTTTTGCTTTTGAATTGAGAGGCCTTTTAGAAAATGTTTACCTTCAAAAGAGGGCAGAGAGGGAGGGGTGGATAGAGCCCTGTGTGACCAGGGCTGGTAACTGCAGATCCTGGGTGACCGATTCCCAGAACGTCAAGCTTCCCATGATGAAATCGCAGTCTTGGGAGGCTTCAGTGTTCTAGGATCTTCAAGTCCTAGCTAGGCCTTGCTGGGCTCCCTGTCTAGTACCCTCACTGACCTGTCTGCAATCTTTATCACAGTCTACAGCCTGGTCACAGCTCATCCTGCCCTCTCCCCTCTTCTCCTATGTGTGTCTCTCAATCCTGCCCATTATTCTCATCACACTCCTAAATAGTACTCACAGACTTTAAATATTTGGTCCAGGCAACTCATAAAACTCAGTGGTATTCCTTTATAACCCTTTGCTTAGCCTCTGTGGGGGTTTGAGTAGAAATGGCCCCCATTAGCTAATGGTTGGTCATCAGGGAGTGGAATTTGAGAGGAATTAGGAGGTATGGCCTTGTTAGAGGAACTGTATCACTAGAGGTGGCTTTAGAGTTTCAGGAGCCCAAGTCAGGCCCAGTGGCTCTCTCTTCCTGTTGCTTGGGGACCAACGTGTATCTGCCAGCAACGTGTCTGCCTGTGTGCCGCCATTCTCCCTACCCCAATGACAGTGGACAAAACCCCTCAAACTGTAAGTAAGCCCCCAAGTAAATGCTTTCTTTTCTAAGAGTTGTTTTGGTCATGGTCTTTTCATAGCAATAGAAGACTAAGGTGGCCTCCATATTCCTCAAACAGAAGGCTGGCTTCTTAAAGAGCATGTCTTTCCGTTCTTAAGCTGTGTACAGCATCCAGTCACAGTTCGCTCAACAGGACAGGGACTCAGGGTTTTCTTACCGGGGGTTTCTTTCTCCATGAAAATAAACATAATAAACACTGGTACAATGATGCGGGAAGGTCGTTGGTTAATTAATAAAGAAACTGCTTGGCCTGATAGGTTAGAACATAGGTGGGTGGAGTAAACAGAACAGAATGCTGGGAGGAAGTGAGGCAGAAGCCATTCCTCTCCAGGGCAGACACAATGAAGCTCCAGCACAAGATGGACATAGGCTAGAATCCTTCCCGGTAAGTCACACAGATTATTAGAAATGTAAGATGTGAGAGTTAGCCAGTAAGAGGCTAGAATTAATGGGCCAAGCAGTGTTTAAATGAATACAATTTGTGTGTTGTTATTTCAGGGCAGAAGCTAGCCAGGCAGCTGGAAGCTGGGTGGCAGGAATGCTGCCCGCAGCTACTTCTACAGTCCAAGGAAAGCACACTCAACGCACACCCTTACCTTTAGAGTAAGGTCCAAGTCTCAGTGATTCTCAACACATCTACATGCCTACGATGCCAATCATTATTCTCAGATAAGCACCCCCCTACCCTCCATGGAAGATCTTATCTTCCAATAGGAACTACAGGAAATAGCTTATAAAGCCTAATGAAAGCTTAAAAATGCTGTAGAGAGGCTCTTCCCAAGATGAAGCCAAAGACAATCAACAAGACGTTCTCAGCAGCTTGTGACACTCAGAAGCCCAGCCCACACCTCACATGATCAGGAGATTCCCACTTACCGCTTCTTCATGCTCCTTCCAACAATCATAATCGGTTGCCATGGCAATGCTTGCATAGCAAATGCCAGCCTCCTTAGCAAGCACCACCTCTGGAACTGTGGTCATATTGATAACATCTGCACCCCAAGTACGGAATACAAAACTTTCTGCCCGAGAGCTGAAACGAGGCCCCTCAATTGTGACTATTGTTCCCTTTGAATGGCATCGAAGACCAAGCTTCTTAGCTGTTTCTATGAGGACCTGCAAAAAGGAAGACCCAGTCTCAAATCACATAAACCTACGTGCAGTACAAGATTTTGTTTATCTATGATGTCTAGCAAAGTATCTAGAGCAGACTTGTACTACAAAGCCCTTAGAGGAAGGCTAGCTCCCTCAAAGACAGCGTCTGGCTATGTACTCACACATCCCTGCTGTCCTGGTCCCCTGCACTCATAGCTCACAGCTTTTAGAGAAAATAGATTTATGTATCTGAATCTCATTCAGTTTTTATCTGGACTTGTGTCGTAGGTCTTGACCCACCGCACTTGCTTGGTTAAGGCATCACTTGTCACGCCCAGATTAAACTGCCGGCCAAGTGCCATTTTCCAAAGGGCGTTTCAGTTACAGACTCTGTGGCCTTTTGGAAAGCCTTGTAGAAAGTACTTTTCGTTCGCTTGCTGCCCCTCTAAGGGCATATGGGGAAATGAGAACGGCTGTCCTGATTTATTCTGTTCAGAGACCAACTTATCTGGGCATTCATTACTCGTTTTTACAGGGCCATGTATAGGTTTTTGTTTCTTTTCTTTCTTTTTAAAAAGGAAACATTAAAGTTTTATCAGAAACAGTTCTGGGGCTGAAGAGATAGCTCAGTAGGTTAAATGTTTATGCTAAAAATATCTGAGAATGGAGTTGTTATTATCAGGGGGAAAGATTCCCGGTGAAACCACAACACTTCAAAACGAAAGCTAAGGGAGGAAAAGTGGTTGATACCTACTCTGCAAACTGATCTTCCTACAGATATCAGCCCAAGACTGTATACTCTATTCGAGTAAGTCTGTCAGACACACTACAAACCTCTCTTGTTTTGGGGCAAAACGGTTCAGCCATTGGGATATGGCACACTCCTCTGGCGCTACAGTGACTTCCATCATAGAAGGTCTGAGGCCTCAGGGATGTCCTAGAAAGAGAAAGCGGTAAAGGTTTTGACTTCCGTCACAGTATCATCTCTGTCCTCTGAGGGTCAATGAATCCACCGTATCTGGACCACTCCACATCCAACAGCTGTAGATAAATGAAGGGAATTGTCACAGATCATCTGCAGGTTTGAACTGGGCTCTTCTAGCTCTGGGTTGGTTGCAACCATGCTTCTTAACCAGGAACAAAAGTGTACCCACTTGAGAAGGTTCATTACACCCTACCGGGACCTGGGGGAGGGCGGGTGATGCCCCAGGACAATCCGAAACATTCATCACAACACAGATACCGCCAGTTCTATTTGTTAGATTCTGCATAAATGTAAATTGTACGTATTGACTCAAACCATGGTCTCCCTAAACCATCAAACCAGATCTCCCCAAAATCTTAAAATACTTTTTAAACTATTGCTTCGATCAGTCCATACAATGTCCTTACCCACATTCGACTGTCGTATCTTAAAATAAAAATAATTCCTGTTTCAACCCTCATCACATTTTCCAGGCCATTAACCCACTGAAGAAAGCAGCGGGACTGTCCTGCTCCACAGGGAATCTGTCTCCTTGCTCAGCTTGCTTCTCCACCTGTTTTCCCCAGATCTCAAGTATTTCCAAGGGTTCCGCTAAAATCTGTTTTGGAATTCAAAAAAGACAGGTGAAATCGAATTCCCTGCCAGCTTATTGTACTTCTTCCTGGAAGTTTTCAGAAAATAAAAAAAAAAAATACAAACCACCTTTTATGTGCATTGATTTCTCTAAAGTTAACTACTGAGTAACTCAGGGAAATCGTACTCCTCCCGCCCCTGGCGCTTTCCTACATAAGGGAAGGTGAAGGAAGGAAGAGACACAAGAAAGCTGAAGCCAGAAATCTGCTGTCTTTTTCCAGGGGTGGGAGTGGAGTAGAATGGATTTTTTTTTCCTGGTTCCATTTACACAGCTGGCTCCTCGGGCTATGTCACACTCAGTGACTCCAGAGGGCAAAGTCACCTCTCTTGGAGATGAAGAAGCGTGGAAGAATGCACACCGCATCTCTACAATTCCTGAGTCTTTCCCAAGCACCTGGAGGAGCCAGTTAAGCCCTCAGCACATCCAGCCGAGGCTGAAGAACGGGTCAAGTGACAGCTCTGGCCCATGTCTGCCATGTCATCAACATACAGATCTGCCTGGTCTCAGCCTCTGCTGCTCCATGCTGTCTCCATATCCTCAACTGGCAACTGGGATTATGAAAGAGACACAGGAAAATTTCCCGTAGTAACAGGTATCCCTGCAGGGCTCTCTGTCTTCCCACATCTCTGCCTTGCATTGCAGCAAACACACAAAAGAACGCGCACCACATCATGCCGTTACTTGATATTGGTCGACCGGTCTTAATTACCGTTTTCAAATGCGAACAGTTTACATTTTTCTCACTAAATGCGAAGGTATCTAATTATAAGTTACATGGTTATAGCTAATTCTGCATACTTTTTTTAAGCCTCCTATTTCCTAATAAAACATAGTACTCGCCAGGCCTGGTGTCACATGCCTTTGATCCCTGCATTCAGGAGGCAGAGGTAGGTGGATCTCTGTGAGTTCCAGCCCAGCCTGGTCTACATAGTAAGTTCCAGGAAAGCCAGAGCTACATAGTGAGACTCTATTTCAAAGAACAAACCAAACCAAACCCACCAAACCCAGAGTGCTCACCCCTTCATGTATAAAGGCACGAGGAGAAATAAGACAATCAAGATGATCTGATACCCCAGAGTAGAGATATCTTAAGAGTCAGCTGCAGGCCGAGGACACAGAGAACTCGACCCTGCAAGGGACCTCATAAAAGAGAGAAAAAGCAGAATTAAAGCCACCGTTTCATCCCCCAATGAGGATACACCTGCTTGTGGCGTCTGCATCACTAACTCCAACGCCACTGTGTTCAGTGAGATGGCGAATGATCACAACCTCAACTGTGATAAATACAATTCTTTACACAAAATGAGTTGACAGAGCAAGACCACAGCCGAGAAAGGTGCAGGGCAACCCCCGAAAACATTTACCAACATGTGTGTCATCTGTGGAACACGTGACTTCTTCTGAGAACCTGCCAGAGAAACTGCATCTTCTAGGACTGAGCCAATGCTGAAGAGAGACTGTTACCAAAGCTGAAAGGTCACTTCTTGTTTCCAAGAAAACCAGCTCATCTAGATTCACAATTACAGTGTGTGGTTCAATCACTAGTGAGTGATGTGGGCAGGAGGTGTAATATAACCTTTGATTTGAATTTTATTTTTAAAAACCAAACCAAACCAAACCAGTATGTCTTGTACAAGCTCCATAACACCTCTGTTTCTATCTTTGTACATTTAAAGGTTTGTATAACTTTTAAATTTCTATGTTGAAATCCTACCCCTTAAAAGCTACCCCTTAGATGCCTAACAGGAATTTAAGACCAAGTCCTGAGGAGCAGGTACCCAGTCTGACTGGTACTAGGGCCCTTACAAAAAAGGCTCTAGAGAACTAAGTAGGAGCTCCCTATTTACTACATAGGACACAACAAGAAGATGCCAAGAAGGCCAGCTGTTCTCAGACACCAGATCTCTTGACACCTTTCCTCCATCTTTCCTGTGGTCCAAAACTGTGAAATTTCTGTTTAGAAGCTAATAAGCCTACAATATTTTCTTATATCAGCTGAAACAGACTAAAATACCCACTTGCACCCTTACTTAAAGATGGAAAGAACAGCAAAAACATCAGTGGCTACCTCTCAATACACCCAGATGCAACCACACCTCAATGTCACATTCGGGTAATGCCTCCCCCACACCATGCTCATCCCTAGAAGCTATGATTCCGCTATTTTATGTGGCAAAGGGAGACAAAGGCAGCAGATGGCCAGAATGAAGCTGACTTTATTCTGGATTAATTTTGCGGGAACAATGGCATCATTAGAAGAGTCCTTACACGTGGCAAGCGGGCAGCAGACATGTAGATGTCAGAGAGATGACAAGAACTTCATCCATCATTGCGGGCACTGGATGGATGTGGGCCATAAACCAGAGCATGGGGGACAAAGGTCAGGAAATGGACTCTACCTTAACTGCACCCCAGGAAGTAACAGGCCCTTGCCAAAACCTTTTTTTTTTAAAAAAGAAAAAGGTCCAGTGAGATATTAAACTACGAACCAAATAATAACAAGACAATAAATTTGTGGTAAGCCCCTACGTTTGTAATTAATATTTGTAATTACTGTTATAGCAGCGATAAAAACATTTCTGTAGTTTGACACATGATCAACCCAGTTACGGCTTCTATAGCAGTAAAGAAGTACTGTCGAAGGCCTGCTCCCTCTACCGAAGTAAAGAGACTCGTTATGCCTCCTGACTAAACACAGATTTCAGGAAATGACTAATGGGCTGCTACAAAAGTCACTCTGATCTCTGCACCTTAGATCCTCCTGTATTTAAAAGGGGGGGGGGGTGGGGCGGACAAAGCCACTCATCCCAAACGGTCTATATGAGGGTAGAATGAGATGCTACAAGACAAGGGCCTGGCACTGGCCCCTGCTGCACATGGACATCTGGTTCTGCGCTCTCTTCTCTCAAGATGGGAGCTGGGATTTTCAAGGAAACCTCTGAAACTACTTGACGCTGCCGAGCAGGAATAGAGACGTTATACTAGCTTCGTTTCTGTTGCAGACAAAATACCCTGACTAAGACCAACTTAGGAGAGCTGGGGTGTTGGTCACAATCCCAGGTTACAGCCCATCACTGTGGGGACGTCAAAGTAACAGAGGCTTGAGAAAGCTGGTCATATTGTAGCCATGAAATAATGCAGAGAGAGAATACATGCCCAGGCGGCTCTCCCCTCTCATATTATTCAGGACCCCTGCCTAGGGAATGGTGTTGCCCACAAGGGACTAGTTCTCCCTACATAAATTAACAATCAGGACAACTACCACAGGCCAGCCTAACCTTGATAATACAGCGCTGAGATTCTCTTCCCGGATAAGGCTCTAAGTTGTGTTGAGAGAAAACTAAACTAACCATCATAGGGAAAAAAAAAAAAAAAAAAAAAAGCCCTAACAAAACATAAATTGGAAAGAGTGAAGGAGACAAATAAGCTTGCACTGCCAAGAGATAGGAGTTCATGGCACTCTTTCAGACACAGACCAGGAGAAAAACCCAGAGAAAAACTGACTGCAAGGTTGTTGCTTAAGTAGGATACCCTTGAGTTAGTTGGAAGGCTCATTTGTTAGATAATGACCTGGGTGGTGGTGGCAGCACTCAGAGGCAGTGGGGCAGTGGGGGGCACAGAGGTAAAACTTCTTAGGAAATAAATGTCTCTGAATGAAACCTCTGTGCCTAGCAAGCCCCGGCGTGAGTGCATGAGAGGTATGAGTCAGCAGCCTTGGTGCAAAGCAACGCGGCTTTGCTCACAAGGATGGTTTCTTGGGAAGGGATTCTCCCAGCTCAGCTCCAATCAGGAGCACCCCGAATGGATTATATTAAAAACAACAACAAAAAAAAAAAGAAGGAAGAAAAGAACAACCAACGTATGCTTATACCTCACTAAGAGAGACTTTTCAATAAAGGGGCTTCATCATTCTGTGATAGATTCTGAGATCTGGCTGCAGTACGCGGAGGAACAGTGTAAGATCAAAAATTCTAACCGTGGGAGCTGAACAGTTGGCTCAGCAGTTAAGAACACTTGTTGCTCTTCAGAAGTCTCAGTTTGGTTTCCGGCGCCAACTTGGAGGCTTGCAACCACCTACAACTCTAGTTCCAGGAGATCCACTCCTTCTGACTGATGAGGGCACCAGACATGCATGTGGTACACACACGGACACACACACACACGGACACACAGGCAAAACATCCATACACATAAAATAAAATCTTAAAAACAAACAAACAAAACAGCAACAAAAATCTTTTTTTTTAAAATTTATTTATTTATTAAACATTTCTGTCTCTTCCCCACCGCCGCCTCCCCTTTCCCTCCCCCTCCCCCA